TAATTTACTTATTCATTGCCATACCAAACCGACTACCACAATTATTTTAGAGAGCTAGAAAAAATAATAACAAAATTCACCCAGAAGAACAAAATATCAAGGCCATTAATGAAAAGAAATGCAAGGGAAGGTGGCCTCGCAATACTAGATCTAAAACTGTTTTGTAAAGCAGCAATCATGAAAACTCCTTGACATTGCCTCAGAAATAGAGTGGTGGATCAGTGCAATAGGTTAGGTACATAAGACACAGTAATCAATAACATGGTAATCTTCTTTTTGATAAACCCCCAAACTCCAGCTTCTGGGACAACAACTCCATATTTGGCAAAAAGTGTTGGGAAAACTGGAAAATAGTACAGCAGAAAGGAGGCATAGACCAACATTTTACACCGTGTGCCAAAATAAGGTCAAAATGAATATGCTATTTAGACATCAAGGTTGAATATATAAACAAATGAGGAGAGTAAGGAATGGTTTACTTGTCAGATCTGTGGAGAAGGTAGAAGTTTATGACCAAACATACATTAGTTGCTAGGTCATTGTTTCATATTTTAATTCTCTGTCAATGCTTAATTTTGAATCTTGTTGATTTTAAGCATTTCCTTTGAGGTGGAGGAAAGCAAAATCTGTCTTGTAACTTGATAACTACTTTTCACATTGAGTATCTTTACTCATAGAACCTTCTTTGGGGAAACCCTAGACATGAGTGTTGTGGGCTAAGAGGTTGAGAGGTTGTGACCCCTCAAAGACCAGAGTACAGGACTGGTGGTCTGGAATGAATTCACAGACTCATGTATTCTGTGAGCCAAGGTGGCAAAGTTTATTGTTACCCTTTTCAGAGGGCAAGGATTCTTAAAGGATCCTGCAACCTTAGAGAGGTACAGGTAAAGTTTATCTAGGAAAAAATGCAATAAAACATGTGTCAAATATGCTAACTAGGTGATTCAGGGTGGGATTAGGGAGTGGTTAAGGAGTGGTCAGTTCTCAATTGAAACTCAAGATAAGAAAAATCCCATTATTCAAGAGAGTATCTGGTCCCAGACATCCTGGGCCCAGTGATAACAAACAGGAAGAATACTGATCAGCTCCATCTGGTCCTGAAATTTGCTGACACAGGAAGGGGTGTGTTTAGTTCACTCAGAGAGCAAAAGATTAATTTAGGTTTTTGGCCCTCCTTGGGGCCCAATTGATCCCACATGATTATCAAGGGACAGTGTTTCTGAGGCTAGGGAGAAGTTGGGGTCCAAGTACAAGCACCCAAACATAAGCGCCTAAGTATAAGCACCCAAGCACCCCAACATTCCCCCCCTTGAACAGACGGGACCCAAAATCTTTTGGGGTTAGGGATGATGGTCTCAGCTTCTGAACCTGCTTCCTGCTGGGTTTGGGCTTAGAGCTGTCCCTGTCTGCTGGGGTCCCTCTGGTCAAGGAGTTGGTTCTCTAGTCAGTGTCTGGAACTTGGCCGATGCCAGGTCCAAGGGCTGATAGGTTGTGGTCTGGGACAGAGGTTGGTACTCAGCTTGAGCAGTCACCAGAAGTGGAGGGCACTGAGCCTAGAGGAGACAAATCTGGCAAGGAGATTAAGCAGACAATGCCAAAAAGAAGGAAAAGGAATATAATCAGGAGTGAGACAAGAATAGGGGTTAACATAGAGAGAAACCAGGATCCCCAAGGAGAGGATGTACTGGTGTACTAAGGGTTGTTGTGGATGTCTCACATCCAGGTGACTTTCTCTAGTCCTATTGAGCTCCAGCTATTGAGAGTTGTTAATATACATACAGCAGGAGGTGTTGGCCAGGGCACAGATACCTCCACTAAGCAAGTAGATAATCCAAAGCTATCTGATTATCCAGGACCACATTTGCCAGGGAATACAGAGGTTGCTGAATATCCCAGAGGCCATAAGCTGTGTCATTTGCCAATTGGTGCATGGTCCCTGTCAGGTTTGACAGAATGAACTGATGTTGTAAATGTCCATACCAAGGCATGAGACACTCTGCTCCCTTTTAAGGTCCCAGAGAACATTGTCCCAGAACCCATGCTTCACTCTTGTTAGAGTGGAGGTACTGGGGGTAGAATATTGAAAATGGTCAGAGGTGGTGCCAAAAATCCAAGGGAGCACACACCAAAATCCTTATAAGTTGTTTAACATTGGGTGGCTAGAACAACAGTCCTGGGGTCCTGCCAAGTAGTGGCATTTTGCTTTACTTATTCCCCAGAATCCTCACCAGCTGGCCCACCCATCCCACAAAGCAAGGAGTATCCCTTAGGGGAACAGATGGGACCTGTTTGTAAAAGGTACTGAGCATGGATGCCCCCATGGATCAGTATGATTACATGCTACTATTATATAGGTAAGAGAGAAACTTTCAAAAATCAATAAGAGTGTTACAGCTAGTAGGGGGCAGTAATATTGTGTGTCAACTAGGAAGAGAAGGTTAAATAGGAAATACCTACCAGGAGAGTGGCAGGAGGAATTTGGTCATAGGTGCAAGTAGGGAGTGTTCCCTCAGAATAGGTGGTACAGCTGGCAGAGGTAAAGCTCTGGGGACACATCACTCACTGTAGGCATCATTACAGGTGGTGCAAGTCAAGAGACCAGCAGAGACATTTACCATCCCTCCCCTGGGAAGGGTCTTTACCTGTATAGTGGCCATAGAACTTGTCTCCCAAGCAAGGGAATAATTCCCTGCTGAGAAACAGGATGTTGAGATAGAAAAATTTTCCCATAAAGGAGTGGCCAGTACAAAAGGGGTGGCAAAGACCTCTGAGGTGGTTACATTGGGGAGGAGGCTCTCTCACCAAAACTGCCTTAAGCAAAAGAGGTTCCTAACTTTAACCTCACAACTGAATAGATACACTTGTTCAGCAAGCTTGTTTATCCTTCTCTAATTGTACTTCAGAAATTGAATCTTTTACATATGATAAATTCAAATACTGATTTTACTCTTACTTTGGCCATGGGAGGTGGTCTGGTCTGCTTAAGTTGTGTTTTTCTGTTTTCCATGAGTTTGAAAACTCCTGGTCATTACTTAATTTTATGGGTTCCTCAGCGACTTTTTCTTGAGTCTGGTTTTTGTTATCTTCTAACACAGCACTGCTGCTGGTTTCTGTAAACAAAGAAGGCTCTGACTGGGTTTCTTTTATTGTCACTGACCCGTGGGACAGATTTTAGAAGACATCTCTCTGGGCTATACTTTTCAACATCAATTGGCTCTGACAGTTTGCTACTAGGTGTCTCTGATTTTATTCTCTTTCTCAAAAGAGTATTGTAAAAAGTTTTCTTCCAATTTGAGACTTTTTCTGGGGTTGATTCTCCTGCTGTGGTGGAGGGGTCATCTTTGCTAAGATTAGCAGATCTTTACAGATCTGCTTTCTCTTTGTCAGGAAAAATCAGGAGACAGTTGCTTTTCCAATCTTACCCTAAGGTAAGATATCCTTTGACAATGGATTAAATCCTATCCATTCTGTAGTGTGTCTGCTTCTCAAGGTAGACCTTAAATGTAACAGGTCTTCAGTCATACCTCTATTTTTGTTCTCAGCACAAGCTATCTCCATGGCCCTCAGCAAAGGAGTACTATAGAGCTCTTTGTCAGTTTCATTTTGGCTTCCAATTCTAAAGGATTCTTGCACTCTATCCTGGGCTTTATTTTCCAGGCTTGGAAGCTGCTTTTCAACAATCTTTTTTAGACTAGGTATCTGATGAATTTCTTGAGGTTGTTTGTTTCTGTTTCTAGTTAAACATAAAATTCCTTCAGGTACGAATTTTTAAAGATATCCAGGCAAATAACTGTGCATTTGTCATTGTTATTTATGTTCCTGGATGTTGATACAGGATTAGATCCTTTCAGTCCTGTATCTTTTTATTTTTACCACTAGACTTCAATCCAATTTAATGGACTTTCACAGGCTTCTTTGGCTCTTTTAGCTATGTTTCGGGTACCACCCTGGCAGCATGGAGTAATCTAATGCCCCTACTTCTAGATGGTGAAGACCTATGACACGGACTCTCCTTGGCTTTCTTCTCCAGGAGACTCTTCCCTAGACACTCCATACATATACTCTCTTCCTTTTTATGTGATCTTGATGACAAAAATTTCTCTGGGAAGCTCTTCTGCAGTTTCTTTTTTTCCTCTAGTTTTTGCCTCTAGTTTTTGAAGTCATCATCCCTATATTGGGACTTGCATCTTTAAGTTTCTTCCCCTCTTTCTCTGTCTTACATAGTTCAGTTGGTAACCTAAATTGAGTTCTTGCGATTTCTTAGCAGACTTAATTATGTTGTGCTAGATGTTAAAGATTCCATCTTTTCACGAACTGTGAAACTCTTAGGTGGTATCTATTCCTTCCTCTGTATGCATATGTTCTTTTTGAAACTTTACTTGCTTCTCTTTCTTGAAGCCAGTCCATCTTCAGTCACAGTGGTCTTCCCCTGCAAATTTTTGATACTTTTTTGTTCATTTTCTGCGTGTAACTCATTGATTTCACTCCAATTCAAATTCACTTCCTGCACAGGTTTATTTCTGTTTCTAGGGTGCAGTACTGCCTTGTGACCCTTTAATATCCCTGGAAAATTCTTAAAAGGTTCCTTTTCACTATTTAGGAATATCTTATATGATTGACTAGGAAATATTTCCTTTGTATTCCTGGAACAAAACACCATCATTCCTGTATTCTCCATTCTTTTTTTCAATTTTAGTTCTTTTAAGACCTTTGGTGGCTTCTTTTCATTTCGTTGTGTGTGAGATGTTATTTCACCAACAGAACCACTAACTTTTGTTCTTTCATCAGTATCAGTTTTAGGTCTAGCCCTCTCCATCAGTTTGAATCTCTTTAGATCTTCTGGTTTTACTTTTGACATTTTCAAAACTCTCCTAAAACCCTTTTAAGTTTTCTCCTGGTTTTGCCTTTTCCTTATGAACTGTCATATTCCTATGACCTCGAAGGTCTTCTTCTTTTTTGGGTTCTCTTCTAAGTTTCCCTAGGCTGCTTGGTGTGTTTTGTATTAGTTGTATTTTGGGTCTTTCATTCATTGAGTATTCTGGATCACATTTTTTCTGTGATGTTTTACCAGACTTCTTGACAACTTTCACATCTTCTATTAAATGTTCTCACTTTTCCTCAGGCATTCTTATCAGTCTCCTGGTGGTGGTCAGATCTTCTACTGATCCATATTTCTGTACTTGTTTTATTAGGAGGGACTTGTTTATGCTTCAGTTTTGGATTTGCTTTGGAATAGTCATCCTAAGCTCTTTGAGGCATGCCTGCTCTTCTGTGTTTTTCTTTTGAATATGCGCAGGTTGATTTCTGTTATATTTGAGGCCTACCAGATCTTCAGATGGCCCTTTCTGCCTAAGAGGTGGCCTAATGTTCATATTTTGGTTGCTTTTTTCCTTAGGCGAACTCATCATTGATCTTTCATTGCCACCCACCTCCTCCTCCCCTACTTCCAATTTGTCCTTAGGAGTTCTCATCGGTCTCTTGACCACTGTTGTCAGATGCTCCACGGAGCCACATTTTAGTTTAGGAGTCTTCATGAGCTGCTTGGGGAGATCCTCTGCCTCAGTTTGCTGCTCTGCTGTCCTCATCAGCTTCTTTTGGATTTCAGTTTCCTTTGGGGTTGTCCCAAGATTTTCCTGAACAGAATTTGCATCATCCACAGCAGACTCTGCCACTTTGTTTTCTTTGTCTACTTTCAGTTCTGCCGCCATTGATGTTGGAGTTGCCATAGGCACTCTGAGGCCAGTTAGGTCTTCTGTTTTTGTTTTTCCCTCTGGGGTTCTTATGACTTTCTTCATGCCTCCTGGTTCATTGATGTAATTTGGTGTTACAGTTCCTGGGGCAGCCTGCACATCTACAGACACACCACCTGGCTTTAGACTTATTTTGTTGGCTCCCGTCCGAGAGTGCTCTTCATTTGGTGAGGAAATTCTTGGCTGATCAGTGACAGATGGCTCTTTATTTGATTTTATTTTTAAAGAGGTAGTTCCTTTGACGTTAAAAGTGTTGGCCTGCGCATTTGATGTTACAGGTGTAGCTGTAGCTGATGTTATTACTGGACGATGTTCTGCCATACTTACACATTTCCTAGATATTTTTGATGTGGCCTTCTTTACATATCCAGTTTCAAATGTTTCTTCCACGTATGTGACTTTTTGATCTAGTGCTGGTGTTTTTTTAATTCTGCTGAGATGTGACATTGATACATTTTCCTTTGATGTACAGGTTTTTTTCAAAGGTGAAATATTGGGTGTTAATATTTTGGGGTCTACATCGACTTCTCAAAGTGGAATGTTTGTTATTTCACCACATCTAATTTCAGAGATCTTCTTTAGGGTTTTAACGATTTCATTCGGGGCACGGCGGCATATAATGCTCTGGCCATATAGCTGTTCTGTTGTGTTAGGAATAGTAGGCATCAATCTCTGTGCTGTAATAAATGACAGAATAAAGATAATTATGAAACAAAGACTATGCCTCTGCTCACTAGTCTAGGGACTAATTCTTCTTTAGGAATGAAAGGTCTACCCAAATTATTGTTTTGTAGTCTTGCGTTTTCCTGGCCAATGATAATATTTAGTAAGATGATGTAAATCTATGCCCATCCATGTTAAAAATATGGATATATATGTTGCATTACATGTAAATATAATATATAGACATCCATAACTTTAAGTTATGGCTAGTTTGGTTGGAATACAGAGTACATGAAGGAGAGCAATATGAAATAAAGTGGGTTTTGGGAGTTTGTGTTTAATCCTAAAGGAAGAGGAAGCCAACTAAAGATGCCCAAGAGGCATACTAATTACTATGGGTTAGATCTGTGTGAAGGGAAGGATTGTGGAGAGGAGGCCAATTAGGAAGCTATTTTAACAGTTAAGGGCTAGAAGCAATTAGGGCCTAGAAGTGCTGGCCACAGTAGTGGGAAAAAAGGGATAAATCCCTTTCTCCTTGGAGAGAGAACTGGTAAGACTTGCAATTAGACTGGGGTGTGATTGAAGAGTCAAAGATTCTTTGTATGGATGCTAAGTATACCTTATAAGAAATGTTTAAATTGTCATAACACAAGAACGTTTAGGTGTTAGCTCTCCTTTTTCATCATAAAATAAAAATTCTACATGGATGGGTCATGTCATTGTGATTCGGTGAGGGCCCAGCCCTTTGGGTTGAAGGTTAGCTATAGCAACTCATGAAACCTCTACTGGCATGGCAAGGGCGAATCATAACTTGCCATTCCAAAGTTTCATAGAAGAAAAAAGGAAAACCAACCTCTACAGTCATTATCTGATCTACGTTCTAAAGGTCTTCGTCTCCTGAAGAGCACTTGTGTAAATTTGTGCCAATCTCAGGAGACACGTTTGCAGTTTTCTGTTTGATAGTGGTTTCCAACATGTCTGCTAATCCTATTAATGAAGAAAATAGGTAACATTAATGTATGTAATAAACACATAGAATATCACATATACAGTTATACTGTATATATTACAGATATGTATTTTTTAAAAGTAAAAAAGTCATATTCCACCTCTTCCAACAAGACAACAATGGGACAGAGTCCCCTTCCATTCTATTCATAAAGAGATCTCTTCTCAAAATCCCGGGCATGCAATCAATCTAGATGCAAACTCTTGACTCTCATTCCTACTTCAAACAATGCAACAGACTCCCTCTGCTCATTAGGCATAATGATTCTTTTCAAAGTCCAAGGCCCCCAACCTAGGCTGCAAACTCAACTCTCCTTTCCTGCTTCCTTGCACTGGCTTTCAGTTCTTGACTGGCATTTAGGCCAGTCTGTCTGCTTCTCTTGTTGCTTCACAACCACCTTTATTCTTCCCGACCACATACCGCAAGATACAGCCTAGCCCTGCCCAGAGGCGTAACTATGCTAACTCAGAGTTATCATGGGGCTGGTTTGTTTGCAGCTGAAAAGATAGGCTATCCCACCAGATCCGACCACAAGAATTGGCCAGGACCTCCAAAGAATGTGCACTCCCCCTTCTGCAGGAGTTGGGGAGCACTTCTATCAGCTCTTTTAAAATTGTGCTTCTAGAAACACATTTTGGCAGGCAGTTTCAATCTGCCTGCCTACGTGGCATTCTCATGGCCTTCTGTGCACACTCTTTCACCTGCGAAATCCTCATTCATATCCATCTTAGGGTTGAAAACAAAGTTGTTCAGCATCCTACAGGGCCACACAGGCACAGTCACTTTTTCAATATGAGCTCTCCCAATCACTAGGGTGCGGGGAGAGTTTGCTAAAGTGATTCTGTGAGTGGTTTGCAGGCTTCTTCTGTAAAGGAAAAAGAAATATTTCCAAAAATAAATTTAGTATTTCTTAATGTTTGCTGAGATGACATTCTAAGTACACAGATGTAAATGTGTAATACACATGATGATATATGTATATAGACACATGTATTATGTATATGTGTAACATGCACATACACATATAAAAATGATCTCCACATTTCTGTAATGTACCTTGACCTTGGGGTTAATCTCCTCTGCTTTTTTGTTATACTTCTCTCAAGACCATGTTTTATAACAACGTGTGCTTGTGGTTTTTTTGGTACCTAATCTCACCACATCTGCCCAAGAGAGTACAACTGTTAAGAAAAGTAACCAACAATTAATTACAAATAAAATTCATTCAAACAGAAGATAAATGAACATTTTTGGATAAAACAATTAACAAAGAAAAAACCAAACCTCCCTAAACACTGATATCTTGTCTATTTCTAGTCACCCAACTAACTTCAAGGCATTCTCTCCCCCACTTTCTTGCTGGATACATCCAGCCAAATGTTGCCATTTATCTCTTCTTTCCACATCTATCACGTCAACTCCTCTTTTCTCTTGACTCACAAATACCACCAGGTACTCTATCTAAAAGCTGCCCCCACCACTCTCACTGCAAACTGATTTGTAACAAGTGCCGAATTCCTGTTTTCCCTCCTTTTCTCTTTCCTACAGTAGTTGCCAAAGTGATTTTTGCTAACCCCAGCACACAAGTCTTACCCATCATGTCTCAACTCCTTCCTGTTATTGACAAACTCCAAAAGCAGCTTTCTATCACTCCCATGAGATTACTAACTTTTCTAGCCTTGTTTTATTTACATCTTTTACCTCGACCCCGCACAGAGCTCTGCACCGTCAGATCCAGCCATATACTGTCTCTGTTACTGTTCCTCCTACGTCCATTCCCTGTGTTGGTAGACTGATGTCTTAAGCTCTTTGAAGCCAGGGGACTGCCTGCCCCCTGCCTGTAAAAACCATCGGAAAATGATTCCCTGCTCAAATACCCATGAGATTGTCTTTTGGTGCTCCGCTCTTGGCGTGACTCATCTGTAGCGTATCAAACGCCTGGCTTCTTGTTGCAGAGGAGGATCTCCTCCAGACCGATGGTGTGCTCAGGGTCTTGTGGGGCTGGATGGTCTGGATTTTGGGAATAGATGTTGTTCTCTTGTGCAGTAATTTTGAGAAGGCACTATTATCCCTGCTAGGTGCAGACTTCTTTTTAAGATTAGGAATGGCTGGTAACTGTTGGGGTGGGTCTTTTGTACACGGTCTCCCTTCCACTAGACTGTGGGAAGCCTCTTTTTCTGGTGGTTTAGAATGCGTCTGCTGCAGTGGACATTTTTATACAGTTTATAAATGACAAGATGTGCTATGGTTCCCTAATAAAGAACTGAATATGGCCAAGGTGCATCAAAAGCCTGTGACAGACATTTCATTTGAGTCTGACAACAACCCTTTGAGCGCTAATCCTACAGAGACTGTCTCTGCAAAGGCACCCCTCGAGGCTCAATGACTTTTGGGGACAAAAGTCTCCCCCTGCTGCCAGGTAGCAGTCAGACGGATATAGCAACACATATGTCTCTTTAAAACAACGATGCCAGCCACCATTGGCCCTGAGCACATTAGTTTAGGCCTTGCCTTCCTAGCAATGAGAGCTATGCTACCCCAGAGTTGGAGA